TTAGGAGTGGCGAGAAGATTGGCTTTGAGTGGAGCAGGTTTGGAGTCTGGAGAAGTTGGCAATACAATGGACGGGGAGGTCGGAGAGTCAGCGCTAAAAACTCTCTGGTTTGACACATCGAGGAGGAGATTATGATGTTTCAAAAAATCTGCACCTAGGATCGGAATGGCTACCAGAGCTAGTTGGAAAGGCCACTGGAACTTGTGGTTCCCGAACTGTAGAGGAATAATCCGAGAACCTGAACATGTGAGAGAAGAACCATCCGCGGTTAACAGTTTTACTCCTGAATCTTCTCCTGAGGAACCTGGATCAGGAAAAACCGATACAGAGGCTCCAGAATCGATGAGGAACCTTCTTGAACTCTTGGAATCTTAAAGATAAATTAGAGGAGATGAGGTAGAAGGCCCGGCAGGTAGGGTACGAACATCCTCCTGCCGGTGAACTAGTTTCTCGACCAGGAGCAGGGAGCTCTGCACTTCTTTGCCTGAGGACCCCATGTACGGTGGTAATAACACATGGTAGGGGACTGTGACCTGTTATCCTGGCGGTTACCGGCATGAGGAGTTGCTGAACGTCGGGGCCGCCTGGAACCTGAAGATCTCACAGCGTTGATAGAATCCTCTGGGGTGCTGGAAACTGCGTACACAGGGTTAGAGGCCACTCTGCTTTGATAGATTTTGTCAGCTTTCAGACCGAGAGATATAGGATCGGAGAAATCGTCCCTGAGTAGGTGAGCTAGAACGTCTGCAGGTAACCTCTTAAGAAAAGCTCCCCGGAGAAAAAAACATGGTTTATGACCAACTGGTAACAGGGCCAACATACTTGACATCAGCTTTGATGGCTTCATATCTCCAGACAATGGTAAACTAGAGATTGCTTCATACCGTTGAAAATCATCTAGGGCGAAGAGTTTCAACAACCGTTGCTTCAAGGCTTCGTAAGGTTCAGAGAATGGAGGAGACTTGATCAGATCCAGGACTTGGTTGGCAGTCTCTTGATTGAAGGACGAGACGCAATAATAGAACTTCTTGAGGCTGGCGGTTACTCCCTTGAGTGCGAACTGGGCTTCAACTTGAACGAACCAGGCTTCTGCGGAATCTGGCCAAAAAGCTGGAACTTTAACTGACACTGTGTTTAAAAGGTCTAAAGAGCTTGGTTCGGCTCGGACCGGGACATTATCACCGTCCTTGGGCATTTTCACTTGAGCGAGTAGCTTAAAAAACAGTCTATAGTGTTGAAAATGAACAGTCTATAGGAGCGAAAAACTCGGGGTCACCAATTTGGCTAGGCTCAATAAAACACGTCCGAGGTTTAAATAAATACTTTATTGACTAAATTTTAAAAACCTTTAAATTTAAGAAATCGAATATATATATCAAGGTGACGTGGCAGATTATCTGTTCATCTTGCCGCGTCTCAGTTCCGGCCTCAAACTCCTCAGATCGTCTTCCACCACAATTTCTTATAACAAATACTTTATCACATGTGTACACATATATACCACATGCATATACCCAAAACTATTGATACTTTTCATAAATACTTTATCATGTATCACATATATCATATATATATATATATATATATATATATTATTATGCATGTACCATGTTCATGTAAACTGTACAATATTTTTAATTTCTTATAAAAAATACTTTATTATGTGTGTACACGTATATACCACATGCATATACCCAAAACTATTGATACTTTTCAGAAATACTTTATCTTGTATCACATGTATAAATCATGTATCATATATACCATGTATGTACATGTATATATATATATATATATATATATACAACAATATATACAACATTTAGATTCAACTTTAATTAAGGGTTCATTGTCGAATGAAATAGAATTTATTCACTGAATGGAATACAGTCCTGATATGTTTTCTAATTTGCAGTGCTTATAACAAATACTTTATCATGTATGTACACGTATATACCACATACATATACACAAAACCAATGATATTTTTCATTTCTTATAACAAATTTTTGCTCAACTGTTGTGATTGATTAAAGCTTAGAAAAGGTAATCTAAGAAACAGTTAATTCTCTCATGAATTTTGAAACAATTATAAGATTTTCTTTTGCTGGAGGTTTACTTTTTAAAACCTAAAATGCAATTTCTCCAAATGATGGTAAAGGTAAGTGTGGGTGTAAATTTAACAAGCAGGATAATGTTGGGACGTACAGGGTTACTCACAAAATGTGAGACTAAATTGTGGACTAAAATTAGTTTCCTTTTTTGCTGAAGTCCATTATTTTAAAGCAGAAAACCAAAAATCAAGATTCATGTTGTAAGAAATTATCAGATCTTTTTCTTTTCCTTTGTGGGTAAACCAATATTATAAATAACATATGATAAGGATGTTTAAAAGATAAGGATGGGACTGATAAAAAAGAGAAGGATATGTCGTACTTAATGGATGAGGATAAGATGCAATTTGAAAGATAAGGATGGGATGGATTTAAAGGAAACAGATATAAAATATTTGGATGGCACACCGATTTAAAGGATAATAATAGGACAGATTTAAGGATAATATTTGGACGTAAAGGGTAACTCACAAAATGTGAGACTTAAGAAAGGACTAAAATTAATTTCCTTCTTTGCTGAAGTCTATTAAAATACAAAATGTATTGCAGAAAACCAAAAATCAAGATTCATGTCGAAAGAAATTATCGGGTCTTTTTCATTTCCTTTGTGGGTAAACCAATCTGTATATAAATTTGTCTTGTCTGTCTGTTCGGGTGTCTGTCTGTTTGTTTGTATCCAATAAACATCAAAACAGCTAAACCGATCTGGCCCAAATTTTTTGTGGGACATCATGTGACCACAGGGAAGGTTTATGAATGAGAAAAAAATTAAATTCTTGAAAATCCACGAATTTTTAAAATCCGCGAAATTTTTTTCTTCTTTGTTTTAAAATGTAAACAAAAAGAACATGTTCACAATTTGAATAGAAGATGGGCGCGAAGCGTCCTAAAAACCTAATATTATAAATAACATATGATAAGGCTGTTTAAAGGATAAGAACAGGACTGATGCAGGATGGGGGGGGGGCTGATAAATAAGAGAAGGATGGATCAGGTTTAATAGATAAGGGCAGGACTGATGTAGGATGGGACTAATAAGATAAGGATGGAACAGGATGATATATAAAAAGGGAAGGATGGGACGTATTTGAATCAGGTTTAAAAGATAGAAACAGGACTGATGTAGGGTGGGACTGATAAGATAATGATGGAAGAGGTTTAAAAGATAAGGACAGGACTGATGTAGGATGGGACTGATAAATAAGATAAGGATGGAACAGATGTCAAGGAAAAGGTTGGGTCGGGAATATTCAAAGGATATGGATGGTATATAAAAGGGGGAATGATGGAACATATTTGAATCAGGTTTAAAGATAGAAACAGGACTGATGTAGGATGGGACTGATAAATAAGATAAGGATGGAACAGGACAGCTCTATATTATGTACAGGGAGGGGTAGGGTTGAGAAGTTAGATTGAGGAGTAGGGTAGAGGAGTGGTTAGGGGAAAGGATGCATTGTGTGTAACATGTAAAATAACAGGACAGCTTTATATTTTGTACAGGGAGGGGTAGGGTAGAGAAGTTAGATTGAGAAGTAGGGTTGAGGAGTGGTTAGGGGAGGGATGCATTGCGTGTAACAGGTAAAATAACAGGACAGCTTTATATTTTGTACAGGGAGGGGTAGGGTAGAGAAGTTAGATTGAGAAGTAGGGTTGAGGAGTGGTTAGGGGAGGGATGCATATTGAAAC